CACAAAGTACAGTACGAAGAGAGAGAACGCTAACCTTGCTCGCGGCAACTTCTGGCATGGAGGACAGGAAGGCGGGTGGGGAGGCGGTTATTGCTTGGAGGGAGAGTCCCCCTCCCTACAAGAAGCCATGACCACGTGTCACGGCAGGGAAAATGGCCGCGGATCCTATTCGTCACCCGATCTGGCATTTGCGAACGGAAGCAAAATTTTGTGAACGGTGCTGTTCGTGACCCGAATTGGTCGTGAATAGAAGCGTTCGTGACCCGAGGTACCACTGTATTTCTGAACACAAAACATGCTGTTTGAGAGAGAGAGAAACTGTTTTAAATACCTACAATTTATTTGGTTCGTTTTTCCTTTTTAGACTTAGAAAGGGATGTAGTTTCTTCTAAAGCTCTGTATGAAAAAATGAAAGCAAAAAGTATGGACTTAAACGAGCTGTCTTTGAAACGTTTGGCAAACCTTCTGAGAGAATCTGGAGAACCCGTTCCCTTCACTGAACCTCCTGTGAGTGTTTACTGATTATCTGAAAAAAATCTTTGCAAATATGCTTGGTGAATTTTAATAAAGCTTGTCATGCTTAATTTTGTTCAGATTAAAGTATCTCAGAGAACACTCATTGTTTTACTCTAGTGTGAGACCTCATTAGCAGCCACCAGTGCACCCTTCTGCACCCGGCAGCAGCCACTACCGGCCCAGCTGCGCTTGTGTGGGGCCATGACAGCCACTGGCACACCCTCCAACACCCAGCAGCAGCCATCCCCTGCCCAGCCACACTCACGCCGCACCACAGCAGCCAGCATGCTTGTGACCCGCCCAGGACTTGCAGCTTCCTGCCGGCCTCCCCATTGATTTTGCTTGTTGGAAGCCGGCAGGAAGTTACAAGGGGGTCCTTGCTTAACAATGGCAACGGGGACTGTTGGGATTGTCATCACTAAGCAATGTGGTCATGTGACATCACGCTTTATGACCACATTGTTTTGCAATGGAAAGTCTGGTCCCAACTGCCATCATTAAGCGAGGACTACCTGTAGTTTATAAATCTTTTCCAAACATCTTAAGTAAGACAACAGTATGAACTCTTTCAAGCAGCTTGATTGAGCTTTGCTAGCTTTCCCAGTCCAAACACAAATCTTTGCCTCATCTGTACATGAGTTTCATTGAGGGAAACAAAGATATAAACAAAATATCTTTTGAAATAACTTCCTCTGTATTTTACTTAGGAACAAGACTTAATGTAAATGTCATTGGTACTGTTTTCTGGCTAATGCTGCAATTGTCTGGAAGTCATTTTTTGAAGATTTGTGTTCTGTGATGGTAGGAGATCCTAGCTTTTCATACATACAGGAAGGGGCTGATCTATAATTGGATAAACCATGTTTGTGGTCATGGTAGCAGAAAACCTCCTGCTGATATTCTTCTGTTAAATGTATTTGTCACTTTTCCTTAACTCAAAATCATCAAAGCCCATGATGGGCTTGTCTTGATATGTGTAGGTAGTTGCCCTTCTAATTTATAAGAGTAGCAATCCTTGCCCGTTAAAAATATCCTTATGTTTTTAAAGTCATTGCCATTAGAGTAGATATATCAAATATCTGATATAGAGAAGGTCCAGGGATTTCATGTGGAATTTGCTTCGTGTATGTGTTAAAATATGGCTTATTTGCTTTCTCACTTCACTTTCTTGCTTTTTCCTACTGTAGGAGAGCTTCACATTCTACGCAGACAAGTTAAGGAATGAAAAGGAGTCACATTCAACAGATGAAGATTAACCTTTTAATATATTAACTTCTGTTAGAAATACTGTGATGATTGTAAAAGACCCTGTTTGAAATTCTGTGTTATTGTCAGAGAGAAAAATAAAGATGAAAAAAATAGGATTTTCTGTGTAATCTAACTGACTTCTGTATCATTACAAATTTACAATGGCTTTACTCTGAAGGTTGCTTTTGCTGCTAGCAAAAATTATATATAGAAGAGTATATGGGAACTCTATATATCATTGCTACTTCATTTCTTCAGGTCTGCATTCATTTTGCTACCCACTTCTGTGCCAGTAGAATTCTGGCTTCATAGAATAAAGTTGTGCATGTGAAATTGTATGCATGATTTGTTTTAAAAAATCAAGAAAAGAGTGGTTTGATTGTAAGCAATGGGAGACTAGCACAAAGAACTAAGGTAGTAACTACAATGGGTGACAGACAGTTGTAGTCGACCAACAGAAGGAGTTGTGATTTTTCCAAAATCCTTCTGATCCCTAAAAACTCTTCATTTTTTTAAATGCCTTCTGACTGCGTTCCCAACCTTTTCTCACAGATAAATGGAGTAAAATAAGGATTCTTCTGTTGCCAAATTTAGCTGCAGCAATTGGATTTCAGGTTTCTGTTGCTCTTTCAGAGGTGCAGAATTCACTCAGACCCCAAAACCATATGTAATCCTCCTCCTCCTCATTATTAAGTTGTATATATTTCCTTGAAAAAGTCAATTTCTTTTCAGAAAGCCTGCAAGTTTCATTAATAGTCATTGTGCTAGTGCAAAGCTCTGTAGTTATGTTTACTTTACAGATACAGCATAACAATTAGAATGCTATGCTATTATGCTGTGAGATGGGCAGCTGTATAAATCAAATAAATAAATCGATCAGAGATAATTCACTTCAGCCAATGTTTCAGTTGTCTATGTCAAATTTTGAACAATTACTGATTCATCTAGGACAGTGTTGTCCAAACTTGGCCACTTTAAGATGAGTGAACTTCAACTCCCAGATTTCCCC